CTTAGCAGCCCATACAATGAAATGTCTCTCTTTACTTAGCTCCATCACAGTAAAAATATTTAAAGAAAAAACTATAATATATATAATCCAGATTGTCTGTGTATTTTCCATCTTTATGTGGCTTATTTTTTTAACTATAGAATATGGCATTTAAATAGCTTAGTGTTCTTTTGATGTAAACCATAATTGATACCTGCAGCCCTGATCTATTCCTGAGAGAGTGCTGGGAACAAAAAATACTCCATTTGTTGCTTGTTTTATTCTTGGCAATACTGACTTTTGGGCAAAGAACTGACCCTGCCTTTACCACTGCCATGACAATTGCATGTGTCAAAACTGTACTAGCAGGATACAAGCAAAAAGACTGTCAAACAGTGTCAAGATAAGGTAAGACAATTTTTCAAATTTTCCTGCCTCTGAAAATGGTCTGTCAGTTACTCTAGGCCTCAGCCAAAATTGTTTACCCCAATGCTGCAAATGATGCTTTGGGTGATTACCCATATAGCCAGTTGTCTCTGTCATTTATTGTATCTTTTAGAAGTTGCTTGATTTCACTTCCTGTTTACTCAAGTAATATTATTTCCTTTTTCAGGTCTTTGATGGGGTTGACGACTAAACAGTCTTATTGACTTTCTTCTTATGACTTAGCCAAGCCTTTAAAAATAAAAAGACTCATAATCTTTAGGATAGGATAACTATTGAAACACTGAACATATATTTCTTGTTGATGTTGCTCCTGGTGGTTGCAATTCTAATTTTTATTTATGACTGTGCCTCTTCTTTTCCCTTGACAATACTTGATATTTGATATCATTGTATATAATTTTGTATTAAGCTTACAACCCTCTTTTTTTTTTTTTTTACAGTCCAGGTCTTTGATTACTTTTTGTACATCAGGCCATGAATTCATAGGGAATGGGCTCCAGCAGCTCAGGCTCCTTCCCGTTAGTCTTCACGAAGTATGTTTCTCTGCGTGAAGCAGGCTGGCGCTTCAGCTGAACCCAGGTGTCCTTCTCTTTGGCTTCCTTTTTCTTCTGGTCGTTCTCCTTCACCCGCTTCAGGAAGCTGTCTCTGCTCTTCGAGTGCTTGATGTGTTCAATCCGTACATTAATTCTCTTGGCAAGAATCTTGCCATTAACTGGCTTGTTTACAATGATGCCCACAGCATGCTGGGTGACATTGTAGACTCTTCTGGTTTTGCCATGGTAACATTTATGGGGCATTCCTTTTTGAACAGTGCCCATACCCTTGATGTCTACAATATCGCCCTTCTTGTAGATTCACATGTACGTGGCCAAAGGAACAACTCCATATTTCCTAAAGGGCCTAGAGAACATATAGCGAGTGCCCCTCCTCTTTCCCTTTGTGTTTGTCAATTTGGCGAGTTACTGAAAGATGGCTACCGCGGCCAAACAACTCTTTTTTTTTAAAGGAAAGGGGAGATGCCATGGAAACTCTTTCAGCCAATAGCCTTTAAGATACTGGCCCACTTTGGGTGTGGTTTCATGTAATACACACACACACACACACACACACACACACACATATATATGAAATGGAATTAAATCCAGCAGGCCTCTTGGCTGTTGGATTCAGTTCTAGTTCCCAGAACTCAAAGAGGACTGCAGATCGCAATTCTTTCTGTGAGTTTATCCCCAGATAAATAAACTTTTGTTATACTCCATATTGTTCCTTTTGGAAACTACAGCTCCCAGATTCCTCCTGGATTACGGATACCTGCGTGCACGCAGGTGCAGGACATTTCTCCCAGATACCCTTGTGCTTCTCGTTAAAAAGCAGGCTTCCACGAGGTCTTGCTCTCTCTTGCCCTTTACCCTTGTGTGTCTTGCACACCTGTCCCTTATAGTGTCCCCCTCCCCCCCATTAATGTGCACCCACGTGGGAGCCGCGTGTCTGTGTCTCCTCCTTTCACGCGTGTCTTGTCTGTCCTGTGTTTATCTACACACCGACCCGCTTTAAAAGAATAATACTCCATTCTTAGCTATTGTTAAATTCTTTTGTACGTCAATAGCTATGGAATTTGAACATCTCTTTAAGTTTTTCTCAGCCATCTGTGTTTCATCTTTTAAAACTTTCTCTTCAGTTTTGTTTCCATTTTTTTTTCAATTGAGTCATTTGGTTTCTTGAAGTCCAGTTTTTTTGTTTTTGTTTTTTAGTTTTTCATAGACTTTAGATCTTAGTCCTTTATAAGATGTGTAATTTAGTAATGATCTTTTTCCATTCTGTAACCTACCTATTATTTTGAATGTTGGTGTCTTTTGCTCTTCAGTTTCATGAGGTCCCATGTGGATGTCCATTTCTTTTTCCACCTGCCAGTTACCAACCAGTCTCTTCCTGCCCAGTTATAGGCCAGACAGTTCTTTACTATCCAATGAGAGTTATACATATTCACAGTGTACAGAAGAATTATCCCACACCAGTCCTGTTTATTAGTTTGTTGGTCTTAATGCCTCTTCTATTGTTATCCTGTACAGAAAGTCTTTTCCTGTGTCAGTGATTTCAAGGTTATTCCTCATTTAGTCTTCTATTAGGTTAAGTGTATATAGTTTTATCTTAGCTCCTTGATTCTTCTAGAGTTTAGTTTTGTTCAGGGTGATAAATATGCGTCTACTTGCATTCTTCTACTTGCAGCCATAGAGTTTTACCAGCACCATTTGTGGAAGATTCTGTCTTTTTTCAAGTGTCTATTTCTGCCTTTTTGTCAAAAATCAAGTGTTCATATGTGTGGACTTACGTCTGGTTCTTCAAATTGATTGCTTCAATGTGTATTTTTCGTGCCAATGATATACTGTTTTTATTACTATAGTTTTGTAGTATGATTTGAGATCAGGGATAGTGATACTAAAGAGATTCTTCTAATATTTAGGATTGTTTTTAGCTATCCTGCTTTTGTGTGTGTGTGGGGGGGGTTCATAGAACTGAAAATTGCCCTTTGAAGATCTATGAAGTATTTGTTCGAGTTCTGAGAGAGACTGCATTGAATGTGTAGATTACTTTTGCAAGGATAGCCCCTTTTCACTCTATTAATTCTACTGATCCCTGAGCATGAGAGATATTTCTATCTTCTGATATTTTCTTCAGTTTCTTTCTCTAATGTGTTAAAGTTTAGCTTACAAGTCTTTCACTTGCTTGCTTAGAGTTTCCTTAAAATATTTGAGGCAATTTGAATGGTGTTATTTCCCTGATTTCTTAGTCTATGGAGGGACTGGGCATCCTTGTCTTTTTCTTGAGTTTAGTGGAAATTCTTTGAGCTTCATTTATATTGTTGTTTGCTATGAATTTGCTGTAAATCACCTTTATTATGTTTAGGTATGTCACTTGTGTTCTAGTTTCTTTAGGACTTTTATCATGAAGGAGACTTTAAATTTTGTCAAAGGCCCTTTCTGGATCAAATAAGATGATCTTGTTTTTTTTTTTCAATTTGTTTATATGGTGGCTTACTTTTATCAATTTACAAATATTGAAGCATCCTGTAGTTCTGGTATGAAGCCTACATGATTATGCAGATTATCTTATTAATATGTTCTTAGATTTGGATTGCAAATATTTTATTGTTTTTCCAAAGTTTTCAATATAAAATAGATTAAAGCAATTTCTGTTTCTTCCAAAGTGCCCACAGAAATTTCCTAGAGACAAACTCTTGTATTTTTTAATGCACTCCAATTTGCAACAGGCATAATATTTTTTTGTTAGCACTTGAACACTGCCTAGCCTGGTATAGGTTTTTTTCTTTATAAAAAGAAAACATTCATTATTTTTTATATAAAAATTGAATTTTAACAATTAAGAACTGTCTCAGAATCTGCTCAATGCCACTGGTGTTATTGCTTAGAGATTGTGGTAAAGGTTACAGCAACTTTTTTTTTTTTTAAAGCAGAATGACGTTTAAATTGAAATGTCCAATTATAATTCCATATCAGGGGCCTATTAGTACTTTCATAAAGCTGCTTACAAATGTCATTGTTCTTAGAATTTACGGCTTCTACTCAGTGGCACTTGTCCCTTGATTTTCTCACAAAATCATGTGCTATTTCTCCCTCATCCCTAAGGTGATCGATGGAGGGAAATAGGATCCTAGCAGTCTAAAACAGATTGCAGTATATGGCAAGACTGTTAGCTTGATGGCATTTTAAAAAATAAATTGTAAGAAGAATGAGATGAAAGCAGAGAATAAAATTGAAGCACAATTATTTGGAGATTAGCATAAGAAGTGTCATACAAATTCACACACACTATATAATTGACAATTCTCTCAAAATTTATTACTATTCTATATTTATTAATAAAAGGCTTGCTTTATGCCTTAATATGTCAAAAAAAAGATTCCTCTAAGACCTTTACATTTCTGCTTGACAGGGCTTTTTTAGTCTTATCCTCTCAGATGCCTATATAGATTCAACTCAAAGTTACAAAGCTGTGCTTCTTTGGCATTTCTGGCACATCTCAGGGATGTTTCCCATCCCTTGGGCTAGTTTTAAATTATTTTTAGATTTATTTATTTTCTTTTATGTGTATGTGTGCTTTTCCAACATGTATGTGCGTGCACCACTTGCATTTTTGGTGTACGTTTTCTGATACTGGAGTTATGGATTGTGAACCACCATATGAGTGCTCTTCCTCTGAAAGAGTATCAGGTGCTCTGAACCTCTGAGGTAACTCCCTAGCTTTTCTTTGGTTACTTTAAAAAATATTATTACTGTCTTGCATGAGCCGTTCTTTATTTTTCTGAAAGGAAAAGTCTAATGTCCTACAATTTATAACTCAACCTTCTCTCCTCAATATGTGGTGTTTCTTCACTTTATTTGCTGTAGGGCCCATGGGTCTACCCCTTCTCCCGGTGTTCATTTTAAGGACAGGTCTGGCCAGCCAGCTAAAAATCCTGTTTGTTCCTGGGCTCCCCCTGCCTCGCCTGGTGCTTAGCTATAGGACCATTGTTTACTCCACCTTGGGCATGGTAATTTCTCACCCGCCTTGGGGGAATTCTATTGTGCAGCACCTAAGCATATAAGGTTTTTCCTAAGCTTGTATAAACAGCATTTGGCTGATCTCCTTTCGAATGACCCAGGTCTCTTGTGTGTTCTTTCAATCTCCAGGCTCTTCCCCGGCTGGCGAACGGTACATTGGTGCAAGGACGAGAGTGATGCAGGAGTTACAATTTGCATAATTTATTGATAGTCACAGGACATGGTATAAGACTGTTACAATTTATTTGCCTACTGAAAATTATTTGCCTAGTGAAAACAAAAAACCAGAAGCAAACTTTCTGTGATTTCCCAACTTCCTTTGGTCTGTGAACCGGATTTTTCCTCTGTAGTATATGACTAGTGGTTATGATCAAGGCAGCTGGAACACAAGGGACCTTTAGTAGAGATAAAAGTCATTTTCTTTGTTCACACTTCAGCAAGTTTTATAATAATTTCAATTAAGTTTCATTCATTTTAAATACAGAACAAGAATCTTTCCTGGATTTATTGCATGGGCCAAAGGTTTTCAAATTCTTACTCGATTTCCCAAACGAAATTAGAGGTTTGAATCTGACTGTTAAGTTCTCCTTTAAGAGTAATCACTCTTGAAATTAATTGGGCTATGAACAGAGAGAAGACAGATGTGGCACTTGGAACACATTCCTACACATTGGGTGAAGAGTCATAACGAGGCTTTGTATTTCCATAGTGAGATAATTTTAATTGACAAATGGACTGCTATGGAAATGATTTTCAACCCTACCTCTCATTTATTCAAGGTTATAAGAATGATCTGATTGCAAGCATAATTTATTGTGTCGTCTCTGATACTATTTTATTTCTCCTTTATGATTTACACTGAAAGCGTCAGTAGTTACACAATAGTAATGATGTATGATAGTTTGGGGTGGGCATTTATATTTCATCTAATTAAAGAAAAAGTAGTATTTGCTAAGCACAGAGAAAAACTTAGGCGTATTTTAATTAAACTTTAGGAAATTATAAAATATATCTTTGGAAATGTTTCAATTGACTGAGGTCCTAAAACTACTTGGAATTTTAAAGTAGTTGGTAAATTCCTAATATTTCTAATATTCCATTAACAGATTTATCACATTGGTTTGCATAGTTTTTCAATTTATTGTTTTGCCTTATATGCAATAGAGAACATGATTAAACCAATGCAAGTGTTTGCCAGGATGAGTAAAGTCATTCTTTATTCTCTCTGACACATTATTCTAATCTCAAAGAGATTTGTT